GTCACAGGCCAGGTGGCCTGGGCCCCCATGTCACATGGGCCTCAAACATAAGGACTAGCCTTAGAGTCCTAGCCGGAGCCACAAAATATGCAAAGCCCAGCAAGAGAATGTATTCTGGGTGTGAACACTGTTCAAGGGGATGAAGTAAACAGGGTTTCAGACTCACCATCTGTGCATGTGGTGCAGACATGGCAGTGTGCATTGAGCAACTAGGCTGGGAACTGGCTTAACAACCAGCCCCTGGGTGACTTGTATTACTGTAGGTGACTAGCAGGAGGTTCAGCTATATGAAGAAACTAGGAGATGACTAAATAGGCCAGAAAACTAAGTAAAAATTTGCTCAACTTTTGCTTCATTTAAGTAAGCAATGGCTCCGGCCCTGGGTGCAGGATGCTTTTGTTTTGGCATCTGCATCTGTCCTGAGTTGTATGCAGGCAGCCTATAGAGTCAGATGCAGATGCAGCAGCTGCACAGACACAGGTACATGTAAACTTGGACAACTGTGCAGCAGCAGATGCATGGTCTCATACACACACTGTCTGTGTTTGGGGCTGTGCAGCCACTTCTGCATGGCTGTCAAATTATTTACATGTTGTGTCCATGCAGCTGCTGTGTCCATATTCACCTCTATAGGGCACCTGAATGCGGCTCATGCAGACTGCTTCTACAAACATTTGTGAAAAAATGGGTCGCTCTCAGAAGCTCAGTGAATTCAAGCGTGGTACTGTGATAGGTAGCCACCTGTGCAATAAGTCCATACGTGAAATTCCTTGCTACTAAATATTCCACGGTCAACTGTTAGTGGTATTATAACAAAGTGGAAGCAGCTGGGAACAACAGCAACTCAGCCATGAAGTGGTAGGCCACGAGTGGGGTCAGGGCATGCTGAAGCACACAGTGCGCAGAAGTTGCCAACTGTCTGCAGAGTCAATAGCTAAAGACCTCCAAACTTCATGTGGCCTTCAGATAACCACAACAACAGTGCATAGAGAGCTTCATGGAATGGGTTTCCATGGCTGAGCAGTTGCATCCAAACCTTACATCACCAAGTGCAATGCCAAGCATCGGATGCAATGGTGTAAAGCACGCCGCCACTGACTCTAGAGCAGTGGAGACAAGTTCTCTGTAGTGATGAATCATGTTTCTCTGTCTGGCAATCCAATTGATGTTTCTTGGTTTGGTGGCTGCCAACAGAATGGTACTTGCCTGACTGCATTGGGCTAAGTGTAAAGTTTGGTGGAGGTCGAGATTATGGTGCAGGGCTGTTTTTCAGGGGTCAGGCTTGGCCCCTTAGTTCCAGTGAAAGGAACTCTTAAGGCTTCAGCATACTAAGACATTTTGGACAATTTCATGCTCTCAACTTTGTGGGAACAGTTTGGGGATGGTCCTTCCCTGTTCCAACATTACTGCACACCAGTGCACAAAACAAGGTCCATAAAGTTAAGGATGAGTGAGTTTTGGGTGGAGGAACTTGACTGGCCTGCACAGAGTCCTGACCTCAACCCAATAGAACACTTTTGGGATGAATTAGAGCAGAGACTGCGAGCCAGGTCTTTTTGTCCGGGATCAGTGCCTGACCTCACAAATGTGCTTCTGGAAGAATGCTCAGACATTCCCATAGACACACTCCTAAACCTTGTGGACAGTATTCCCAGAAGAGTTGAAGCTGTTATAGCTGCAAAGGGTGGGCCAACACAATATTGCACCAGACTAAGATTGGTATGCCATTAGAGTTCATGTGTGTGTAAAGGCAGGGCGGCCCAATACATTTGGCAATATAGTGTATGTTGTGTGTTATGACCTGAAAGATTTTTCTTTTTTAGAAATTCAGCTGAAGAGATGTTATATAGGCTTTGGTGTATTTTTTGCAGCTGACACAGACCATGACTGGTAAGGCATAGCTTATAGCCTTGCTTATTTTTGGTTTGCCGAGTTTCAAAAATCCTTGGCAATCTGAACCCAGGCAGATTTGCCTATCCCTACTCTTGTCTTCTGAGTTCAAGAATGCAGTGACCTCATGCACATTAAATTGAATGTTTGGGCAGACATAAATACAACTATAAGTGATCTTTGCTAATAGGTTGTCCTTTACGAAAAAAAAAAACCAATCAGGTATTTGAGCATTTTAGAAAATCTTAATTTCCTTTCTTTATTTGTGACTCAATCATGATAAACCAACCATCAATTCCACTTACAGGAAAGGCCTGTAGCCAAGGGTTGTTGATGTGAATTGTCATTCACGCCATGTCTGCCATAAATACTCATCAACTAGCTCACCTAATTACTTGGGATAATCAGCCATTACTATGTTCACTAAACAGAAGACCTGAGGGGAACTGAAGTCTGTACTCTTTCCAACTGTTTATATTATAGCAAATGTGCTCAGCTAATGCATAATGGAAAAAATAAGTTTTCCTATAACAATGGTTGTTAGGTTCTCTAAATCCTAATTACAGCTTGGGAAGATGTATTGTTATGTAAAGTGGACCTTACTAATCTACCTAATAATCTACTAGCTTTTGAACATTACTAAAGTCCCAATATTGAGTTAGAATTATACAAATCTGCCAAAAACTGTACCATCGCTCTTGCTTATTTGGCAGTTGGGATCCTTATGGCAATAGTTTGATACACTCCGGTACATTTCCTGAACTCTACAGCTATGTTCCAGGGTAGCCTTGGTGTGTGTTTGTTTGTTTTTGTGTTAATGGTAATGGTGGTTCCCCCTGAAGTTGTGTTGACTTGTTTTTGTTGGTACCCTTATACTGTATTTTGTATTTTCCTAAAAACTTTAAATAAAGAATTAAAAAAAGGTACATCTATTGTCCAAAGATTACTTTTATGGATTCTAGATATTGCCCAGCATATTAAATAGCTCAGATAACACCTAAGAATGACTGTTGACCTTTGCAATGGTTCTGCCCCTAACAGGATCCCCTGGAATAACAAGCCATCCACAAGCCAAAGTAGCAGTAGCACAAAGGAAATCTGTTCATGTAGAAAATCTATGTAAAAACATTGAGATTTCTCCATTTTTAACAGCTACATTAACATCGGATAAACCTAAGCAACTTCTGACTAGGAAACGTTTTTCAGTTATTTGAAAAAAAATCTCTTGTCCCTAACATTGCAACCAGTAGATTGTCAGAAAAAGTGGGCAACCACTACGAAGAACTCTAGAACTGACCCTTCAAAGTCCTGTACTGGTGGTGTTATACTTTGGTGTACCTGGCTAGGTACAGTATATTCCTACTTACCCACTTTATTGCTTCAAAGGCTGTGCTAAGCCTGGTATGATGGCACAGATTCGGTGGACTCACCCTTGCATAAGTAGATTGTGGATAAAAGTCTACAACCTTATTTGTTTTCTTCTCAACACCAACTTGCGTAAAAAGCTACGGGAATCTTCGCTTATAAAGCCTATCCCAGAGCTGAAAAATCCTTGCTACTCATATTTGTAGGGTCACCAAAAATTACCAATATTGAAGCTTGGATGAATCTCTCCTTGAACTTTGAGGAACTTAAAATATCCTGTTCTCATTGCATTGCTTCCTTTGTATGAAATACAGCCTGCCTGTACTCCAATTGCCAAAACTGGTGCTGGCACGCCTCCTGCACAGCCCTTCACTGGGAAGATCAGTGTATTGCTGTTTCTCTGCTGACACACTCCCCTGCAGTCTGCACCCCTACCTCTCCTGGCCTCTTTTGCAACTAAGAACAGAGGTCATGTGATCACTTATAAAAAAAAAGTATTTATAATGTATATATATATATATATATATATACTGTATATATACAGTTTATGTACTGTATATGTGTATGTACATAATGTTATGCCTTGCATTTCTATTTTTATCTGAATGGATTGTTTTACAAGGTGAAGTGAGGATACACATATACTTTACAAATTGGATTAACGTCACAATAGTCTCTCTTAAATGGCGCACATGTGGAAATCCTGGAAGTTTGGCATCCCTGGATAACCTGTTCACAACCTACCGAATGCCAAATCCCATTTCTATTTCTCTAAATGCAGGGTGATATTCAGGCTCTCATAACTTCCTCTTTACTCCCCCCTTTTTTTTCCTTTCTTCCTATTCTCCTTCCCTTTCCACCTGTCGTAGAAAAGCTAGAAAGCCCAGGATACTTTGGAGTTTGAAAAAAGAGTGTAATACATCTTATAAAAATCATTTATATCATTTATAAAAAAAATACTTCATACAAATAATGTAAAAATGAAACAAAATATCACCTTCAAATGACATTTTCTCACTTTTTAAAATGTATCAAAACCTAAAAACACATTTAATATAATACAGCTTACCAGTTCTTAGATGTGGTAGATGCATTTTGTTTTCTTTTTTAGGCTTTTTTCCCTCTCTGTTGTATATGCCAGTCTGTTATGTTGCACTTCCTTTAACAGACCAAACTGTCCAGCAAAAGTGACATTTTACCACTGACAGGGGTGCTTAAAATGGTCAGCTTTTATTAATTTAATTAAAACCTTTATCCCAAAAGAAAAATCAGTTTCTTTAACTGTTTAAAATTGTGTTAGCTGTAGTTTGGCTTTAATTTATAAGCCACTTATGCAGTCTATCAAAATCTACTCATCCATCTAACACTATCTTCTACACAGGTTGAAAATGCTGCTGTCCAAAGGTAGCTATATTGCTGCTCCATAGATACAGTGAAGGAGTGAGTGTAGCCACCATAGAACAGAAAGTAAGCTGCTGGTTGGATCACCAAGTGACAATAAAGAAAAGCCTAGAAAAAGAAAACAATGCAGCCACAATATCTAAGGATCAGTTAGCTGCAATGTATTCAAATTCTACTTTTTAGGGTTTACATACAGCATGCTTTATAATTAAAAAAAGAACAAACCATTATAGTATGCCTATAAAGCAAGGTCGGATCTAGGGGAGTGCTGGGGTGGGCTGTGCCCCCCAGATTTTAGAGGTTCCCCCCAAGGTCTCTGAGAGTGCATACACGGATTCATTAACCAGTCTGATGCAAACAGTTGATGTAGGAGGCACGCTGATGGGGACAACCCATGTAAGGGGGGACTCTTAAGGGGATAACTGATCATATGTAAGGAGGGACTCTATTGGGGGACATTTGATGTAAGGGAGGCTCTGATAGGGAAACCGATGTAAGGGACCCTGATGTAAGAGGGCACTCTGATGGGGACAGCTGATGCAAGGGGGTAATCTGATGGGGGCATCTGAAGCAGACCCTGATGTAAGGGAGCAATCTGATGGGGACACCTAATGTAAAGAGGCACTCTGATGGGGACCCTTATGCAAGGGAGCACTCTGATGGGGACAGTGATGTAAAGGGGCACTCTGATGGGGACCCTGATGTAAGGGGGCACTCTGATGGGGACACTTGATATAAGGGGGCACTCTGATGAGGACACCTGATGTGGGCCCTGATGTAAGGGGGCACTCTGATGGGGACACTTGATGTAAAGGGGTGCTCTGATGGGGATCCTGATGTAAGGGGGCACTCTGATAGGGACCCTAATGTAAGGAGGCACTCTGATGGAGACCCTCATGTAAGGGGGAACTCTGATAGGAACCTGATGTAAAGGAGGAATTTGATAGGGACATCTGATATAAGGGGGAACAGGCTCTGTTTAATCATCTTAATATAATGATAGCCTAATACATACTTGTGTTTCTCAGGTTGTGACACTGTGACAGGCTGTCAGTGACACATAGTGTTGACATTATGCCCCCTGACTTTTTTACTGCGCCCTCATATTACATATAAAGCACTTCTAACGCCAGCACTAGTTATTGGTAGTACAGTGTTGATGATGTCACTAGCGGACACTTATAGTTAATCTAGCTGTTATACCTGCCAATAATTGTGGTTTACTAGAACAGAGAGCAAGCTCTAGGCAGACCACATTATTGGTCTGGCAGGTGTGCTCTAACCCCACAGCATGGTAATATAAGTACATATCTATGTAATACACATATTTTAATACCTGACAAGAATAAAAAACAATTATACCACTGGCTGACAAAATGCCTTACTTCTGATCATAGCTTCACTTTAAGTCATAACTTTCATAAAAAAAAACCTACCAATTGACAGGCTGCCCCACCTGTCAAACACGCCCTTGAAGTCAATGGAACAGCACCACAACCGTGAGCCTAACGCTTGGCCTGCAGTTGCAGTGTGGTAGTTCAATGGAAAAAAAAAAAAACACTTTCAGAAAGCAGCAATATTGCCTTCTGAATGCTTTGGAGCTGCTGCTCTACTGCCCTCTGAAAACTGATACACCGTGGATGACTTTTCAGGAGAGTCTAGTGACGACCACTAGTGCGAACCTAACCTTAAAATGCCACTAACCACAATTGATCCTGAGATTTTTTTTTTAGGATGGGGAATTGTAGGGGGGGAGGGGGGCTTTAAAGTGCCACTGGCCACCATTGATTGAAAAATGTTTTTTAAAGGTGTGTGTGTTTGTATTTGTGTATTTTTGTTGAGGAGTTAAATTCCCACTGACCTCCAATGTGATTGTTGTTTTTAAGGTGTGTATATGTGTGCTGTGGTTGCGGAGAGGTAAAGTGCCACTTAGCACCAATGACTGTGGGATTTGTTTTTTTAAGGTGAGGGTGGTGGTGGTTAGGGTGCCACTTAGCACAAAAATTGAAAGGTAACTGTAAGCAATACAAACATTTTGGTCTTTTTTCCTTTATATAATTAAAAACAAAACAGTGGTTATTAAATACTACCAAAAGAAGGTTCTATCTGTCTAAAAAAAATGTAATAAAATTCTTTTGGGTGCAGTGTTGGGTGACCAAGTAATTGTCAGTCAAACTATCACAGCACTAAAACTGAAAAAGGGCCTGATATTGAAGGTGTATATACAGGCTGGTAATCAAGTGGTTAAATAAAGATAACTTTAACAAAAATGCTACAGATAATGCATGTTTTGATTATTATATTTATTGCGCCACAAGACCACTAATGTAGAACTATCCATGAAGCTCACGAATGTTTAACTACTATTAGCTTTTAAATGTTGTCAGTAATGTGCTTTTTTTGTGCTGTGATCTAAAGACTAAAATCAAGAGGACCTGATGAATAGGATTCCTGGAAACCAGGCGACCTTGACTCCACACTAAAAAACCCTGTGCGTGAGGGACCCTCTGATCCCTTCTTATCTCCTGGGGTCTGCAAATCATTGCAGACATAGGAGAGAAGGTTTATATACACACTTCTCACATGACATAGTGTTTTGATGAAATGCGTAGGAATAGGAACCCGTCTGCTTTGTATTATTCACCATCACGCAGGGAACACATTTGCATATGATCAGCATGGATATCTCATTAAATGTTATCATATGCATTGTACAGGTTGCAGTGTTTGACTCTGGACAAAAGGTGGCGACACAGCGCCTTCAATATTGGGTCTGAATGAACATTATATGGATAGGATCCTACCAAGCTCTTTTTTACTTATTCTAAAAAACATATACCATTTGTCAAAGAAGGCAAAGCCGTGGATTCATAAGATATACAGAAACCAAAAACAAATTGGTTTGTATCATAGAACTAACAGGATTTTAAATAATTTACAGGGCAATATTCATAGTTCCTAACTGTCCTTATGTCCCACTTTCCTCCTCAGCTGTTTCCATTCTTAATGTAAAGTATAAACCTTTATGAAGGTATTATTTAAAAAGCGTTTATTCCTCCTAAACTTTTATCCAACCTCTGAGTGATTGCATATGTTATACTGAAAAGCCAGGATAAAGGAAAAGCAGTTGGGTCTATGCACACTGTGCATTTAGCCCCAGTGCCTACAGCTCCAGCATTTAGCAGTGGGCGGAGGGTCCAGGTGCGTTGTCAGACTCCTTAAGGCTAGGTTCACATCTGTGCGGGTGGTGCCGCTGTGGATCCGTACAAAAATCCGTGCAGCCGCACCACCCACACAGAAGAATGCGGACCCGTGGGCTGGTGCTATTAATTCTAATGGCACGCCGCCTGCACTGGAAATCGCAACCATACTGGGTACCGAGGTTCCCGTGCGGGGCTGCGTTTTCAGAAGAAGTGCAGGGACTTCTTCCCTGTCTGTCCCGGGGCAAGGGAGTCCATTCAAATTAATGGGTTCTGGTACCCGTGCAAAACACAGACCGCAGGAATGTGGATATGTGAACCAGGGGTGAGAGTCTGACAACTACTGCAGCTGGACAGAGCTGGGCAGTACACCTAGTGCTACATATATTTAGGTCAGTATGCACCCAGGAATGAATGCAAGAACCTGGTTTAGACTCCATGCACACTAGCGTTTTTTTTAATATAGCGCTACCCACTTGAGGGCGGCTGTGTTTCTGGGTCCCCCTAAGCTTCACACAGCCAGGCAACACGCATTTTCCACATCTGCATCCACAGTCAGTGAGCAGTCCATGAGCTTGGGTTTTTTTTTGTTATTTTATTAGGTAAAATAACTTGGATGGGGTAATAGAGGTTATGGGATGCCCAAATTGAGTCAATGCACAGGGACAACTTTCTTTTGGTTTACAGAAACAGATCCTATATTGTTTTTCTCCTTGAATACTGTCAGTCTTTACAGATCAGTAGCAAAAGCCCCTTATGGTCTAGGAACTCTCAGCCCCTCTAAACGTTGTTGCAAACTACATGCAGAAATATCTCCTCTCTCCTGTAGAACTGCTTCCAGCTCTACAGCCTGCAGACACTACCAGCCCTCCTGGCTGCTCTGATGATCTCCCAGGACAAGGAAAAAAAGATAATCAGAACGGTGTCCTTTGAAAGCTTGCTACACATGGCATTCTCTCCCCTTTTAAATCCCAGGGTGTGCTGATGTGCCCATTCTGTTCTCCTTGCTCCCACTGGTCCCAGGCATTGATCCTGTTCATACTGTGATAGATTCTCCTGAGCCAGCCTGGAGGCCAGCCCCCAAACCTAGCAGACCCATACCAGGCCACCAATAGTCTCCTCAGCACACCATCTTCATCCTGACTCCCTTGCTAGCATGGCTCTCTCATATTTATGGGATAACCTACCACACTACTAGGTCTTCAAAACATGGGATTGGTTAGACTCCCATAAACATGCAGATTTAGGTCTCCACCCCTTCTGCCCACTTGCTTCTGGAAGCTTCCATCGTCCTTCAGGACCAGGTGGAGGCCACAACCTGCTGAGTCACCCAGCCTGACCTGCAGTAACCTGACCTAATTACAGGCTCACACAGTTACCTTGCCTCATACCATAATACATTTACCTACACTAACCTTAGTAGCACACTAGAGGGTGCTACATTAAACTCCTAGAAGCTATTCTGAGCTATGTGTCCATGCACACTGTTTTATGCTAGAAGCATTTTTCAAGCTTCAGCATTTAGGAGCAGAAAAAAAGTTGTTTTTGTAGAGTTTTTGGGAGCATTTTCCTGGCAGAAAAAATGTTCCTAAACGCCTCTAAATAAAACTAAAATGGTCACAACTGTTTTCAAGTGTTTTTTTTTTTTTCATGTACTTTAAAAACGCTAATAAAATGCTAATACTCCTAAGCGCTACTAAAACGACACTACAAGCTGGCACAAAAATGCTATTATTAGTTTTATTCATCCAGCATTTTTTTCTAGTGTCTTTTGTGCTTATAAAAATTGCTGGACTAATTAAAATTGTCACTGGTAGTTAATAGGTGGTTTCTTGGGTGAATGGAGGTGATTGGACTCCCTTTGGGGGTTTGGGCTACTACCATAGTTTTAGGACAGAGCGACAAAGCCATCTTTTCAGTAAAACAGTGCTTGAATGGAGAGGGAGGAATGCCACATGTCCAGAATGATGCAACTCTTGATATGAGATTACAATAATTTATTAAAAGTATAAAAACATACAAATTGATCCAACATGTTTCGGGGGAACTGCATCCCCCTTCTTCGGGGCTTGGTACGAGCTTACGGAGGTAGGTGGACTCTGCGATGGTACTTGAATTTCTTGTAATAGCAGAGTGCATGCTTGTGATGATGCAAAGGTTACCCATTATTATACCTGGCCAACTCCTTTCAGCTCTCACAATCATGGAGACTCAGTATCACATGTGGCCATTATTTAGCCTGGTCTGTCACAAAAATGTAGTCTGCCTAGGAACTCCCACTCCTCTAAACTGACTTCCACTCATCAAGTCATATTGCTATTTGCATAATTCCTCCCAAGAACAAGCTCACTGCTTGCATTGGAGCTAAGGGCTCTTGAGAAAAGTACTGAGGTAGGATACTGAAATGCTATGTACAACACCCTAACCCCTCCCACCAGCCAAGATTTGCCGGTATTGGATAGCAAAGCACAGAGACCCATTGGTGACATTGCGTGATCTAAAATAAGGTATGTGATGAAAACAGTAAGGCTTTATTTTAAAGAAATTCATTAGAACTCAATAAATGCACCAGTGGGAACAAGACATTCCTACAATTGGACCTTCAGGACTGGCAGGAATTTGCTAGCAATTTGTCTCAGATATTTATCAACAGTGCCCTGATAGACTACAACTACAAAACATTACTGTGGTGGTCTTTATTTCCTATTTGAATTGCCAAGTTACACCCTCAATCCTCACCTACCTGTT